AGGACCCGAGTTCGATCCTCGGTACCAAAAAAACAAAAACAAAAACAAAAAAACAAAATTAGGCTAGTTATCAGCCCCACTGCTAAATCTCATTATTTAATACATTGATGAAGATGCATATGTATGCTTATCATAAATGTATTTACTCATACTTTTGAGATTAGGCTAGTTATTAATTAGTCCCACTGTCAAATCTTATTACTTAATGCATTAATACAGAAGCACACATATTTTTAGAGCTGAATTCGGTGAGGCACGCCTGTAATCCCAGCACTTGGGAGGCTGAGGCAGGAGGATCACAAGTTCAAGTCCAGGCTTGGTTATGGAGTGAAATTTTATCTTAAAAACCCATATTTTTTTTATCATAAATGTATTTACTCATACTTTTAGGTTTGTATGTGAGTGTAGCTAGCTTCCTTTGTAATGCAATTATTTTATTTTATATAGTTAAAACATTATTTTGAGCTGGGAGTGATGGCATACACTTATAATCCCAGTACTCTGGGAGGCTGATGCAGGAGGATTGAAAATTCAAGCCCAGCCTCGGCAACTTAGCAACTTAATAGTCAGCAGAGGCAGACTCATGTACTTGTATCTAGTCTATACCCAGACATTCAAAGCTGCAGTTTGAATATATCAAAATTTTAAAATAATAAAATGTGAGGTGGTCAGGGGATGTAACTCAATGTGAAGTCCCTGGGTTCAAACTCCAGCATCTAAAAAAATTATTTTGAGGAAGGCCCCACCAAATGCCAAAGAGGCCTATTGGCCAGGGGCTAAGAAGCTCTTCATTAGAGTAAAATTGTAGCCTTGCCTGGCCCACCCAATTCTTTGCACTAGGAAGGCCAGACCCTTAGGTGATATCTGCAGTTCTCCAGCCCTGCCTGTGAAAAAGTCTTTCTAGTACCAGGATGCTGTATTAAGAAAACAGATCTAAACTATGTCATTGAGTATGTGATCACTTATAAAGAGAAAAATGTATGTCCAGCCGTTTGACTCCTGAGTCTCTCTTTCAGCTGGTTTCAAACTATGGCAGACTTACTAGCTCCCCTCAAACTCCAGTACATAGCTAAGTGACAGACCATTATTTTCTCCATTAGTCATGGAGTCTCTGCAGTCATTCGGTGAGCCCCCTGGGACAGGCCTACGTCTTGCCCTCAGTGAAGCAGTGGAGAGGGAGGTGTGGGAAAGAACATGGTGTCTGACCCCACGAGGCTTGGGTCCAAATCTGGGCTCTGACCCTTTGCAGCCTGGTGACCTTGAGCAAATTACTTAGGCTCCTACCTCTTCATTTCCTCTTCTTTAGTTGTATGTGATTCTTGCAAAGAGTAAGTGAAAGCACGTGAAGTTACTAGGACAGTGTAGCATGTAGTGAGAACAGGGGCTGGGCGGGGGCTATATTTTACAATGTTGGTGTTTTTCAAACACAAGTAAAGCATCTGAGTATATTTTCTCCTTGCAGATGCAATACTGAACTCCTGGAGATGATGGAATATTTTATTAGATTTTACCTGAAGCATTACTAAGATTCTGTCAAGACGGTCCTCTCCCTTACCTAGAAGAATAAACTTAGCTTTCTCTAACAACATGTTGACATAGTGACATTTTGGGGAGCCAGCATGTAACAAAGACAAAAATAACTATAATGCTGTTGTTGGGAGGTGGACGAAATGAGAATGGGATCCTGAAGAGTGACTGTGCAGTAAGGAAACTAAAATGCTTCTGTTACTTTGAAAAAATAAGGGTTTCTTAGTAGGGCTGGGCATTTCTCCCCAAACAGAAATCTAAGATGTGATGATATTTTCTTAAACTTACAAATAAGTACAAATTTCCTATGCAGATATACATAGCTGGACTTCATGGGTTGGGCAATGCTTTTCTCTTGCAATCTTATTTCCATAGTCTGTGTCTTGACCTCTGACTCATGGTAAAATGAGAAGCCCCTAAAATATTGATTCTTTTTCTATTTCTGGTGCTTTCTACTGTGCATTCAACCTTATATATGTAACATTCACCTTTTACTGAGATTCATATTGCAAATCTGGCTTAAATTGCTGAAGGATAAAATTAGGTGAGGTTTGAATAAGATCTCTAGATCCTAAAGTGGCATTTTTACTTTTCATTGGTGACTGCATTCTCTCTCTTTTTTTTGGGGACCGGGGATCGAACTCCGGACCTTGCGTGTGCGAGGCAGGTGCCAGAACCACTGAGCTAAATCCCCAGCGTTGTCTGCATTCCCTTCCATCTCACCTAGGCCCTGAAATAGTACGAGCTATGTGGAAAATCCCCCTTACAAATTTTTTTAAATACATTCTTTGGGATTTTATTTCAAGACCACAACACTTTGCTTTTCATCACTATGGCAGTAGCATCAGATTATCAACCTGAAAAAGATCACTGGAAGGCAATGAATAAAGTCCCACAAATGGTAATCTGAAACAAAGCTGCATTTATTTGCCTGTCCAGAAGGGAGAGCTACATCACTCAAGCACAAATTCTGTTACCTCCCTCCAGCACTTGAAAGAATCAGATAGAAAAGGAGGAAAGACATCAAATAGGACAATGCTCTGCAGATCAAATCTCTGCTTGGCTAAGGCCTAGCATACATTCTTCTTTGCAACTGCTCACTGGACAGATTTCCTTCTTTAAAATGCAGGCACCATTCTCAAGGATGTCCAGGATGTTCTTCGCAGGTTCATTGTCACTCAAATGGCCAATCGGACATATTTTCTTGAAGTTGGCTGAGTCGTTCTTGAACAGCCCTGGTAGACATTAGAATATGTAGGCTAATACAGTCAAACTCATTGGCTGCCTAATCCTTAACTAATCTCTTTTAGAACTACCAGAGCAAATTTCCTTTTAATTTTTTTGTTAGGGCAAAAAGCAGAGAAACATACATGTTTACAAGGAAAAGAGAAATTTTATGTAGACAGACTGCCATGCAAAGTTGTAACAGAACAAAAATATGAGAGATACTAAAATACTACATGAATAACAGCATTGTTCACAATAGCCAAGTGGTGGAAATAACCCAATTGTTAATGGAAGAATGGCTAAACAAAGACATGCTCTAGAGAGACAATAAAATATTATTGAGGCAAAAGGAATTAAGTACTGATATATATTAAAACATTAATGAACCCTGAACGCATTGTGCCAAGTGAAAGAGGCCAGACTTAGAATGCACTATGCTATGATTCCATTGCTAGGAAATACCGAGAACAGTGTAGTTCCTGGAGACAGAGAGCAAATCAATGGTTGCCAGAGGCAGGTGGTAGAGAGGAGCACTGCTGAGTGCCTAATGGGTCCAGGGATTTTTTTCTGAAGAGCTGAAAATGTTAGAGAAACACATAGAGCTGGTGGCTGCACAACATTGAGAATGTGCTAAATGTCAGAGAACTGTACCTGAAAATGGCTAAATGCTTCTAACATGAATTACACCTCAATTTTTAACAAAGAAAGAGTGAAAAAGAGGCCAGAAAAGTGCAAGGGTCTTTGAGAAAAGAAAACAGAGAAGTGGAGATGAAGGAGCAGGGACTGCTGAACAACTGATAAAGAAACAAAGGTAAGGGCATGGAAAGACAAAGAAGGAGGAGACCCCACTTAACAATCTAAGAAAGCTACAGGCATTAGGAAAAGAAACAAATGAAACAGGTTACCAAATGCTTCTTTTACCTTTGTGAAAGTAACCTCGGTTTTTTTGTTTTATTTTGTTTTGGTGGTGGTACTGAAGGTTGGACCCAGCACCTTTGCCCTGAGTTACATCGCAAGCCCTTTTTAATTTCCTATTTCGAGACAGGGTCTTGCTGCATTGTTAAAGTGCCCACGCTGGGCCCAAATTTGTGAGTGCTGGGATTACAAGCATGAGACACCATGCCCTGCTCTAACCCACTGCTCTAAAAATAGGCAAATGGCTTTATACAGAGGGAGACAATGCGTCAGAGAAGGGCCTTTTCCAGGCCAACCGCAGGGTCTGGAGGAGGAGACATTTGCTCTGGGGTTGGGGGTGGAGAGCACTGAGTGCAGGGGAGACTTGGAAAGGTCTGGGGACTGTCACACTGGCACACCTGCCACCAACTGCATCCCACAGGTGTGCAGGTCTCTGGTGTACTCGATCTCAGTGTGACCTCTATTTCTTGTGGATTCTTTTGATTTTTCAAACTAGATGTGTAGTAATTACGATTCATACCTTGCACACAAACCTTTCAAAGGGAACACATGCACACCAACTCCGTTGTCCTCAAAGATGTTTCCCCAGCTCGTAGGTATATATACTCTACAGGAAAGCTAGTTTTTAAAAAGCAATCATTTTCCTGTCACGTGGGAAAACATGGGTGAGCCTTGAGAACATTACGCTAAATGACATAAACCCGTCTCCAAATGCTGAGCGCTGTCAGGATTTCATTCCGTGAATTGCCCAGCACACTCATATTTATGGAGACAGAAGGCAGAATGAATGCAGGCTGCCAGGGGCTGGGGGACAGGAAATGGGGAGCTGGTGTCTAACGGGTGCAGAGTTCGGGATCTGCAAGACGCGAAACTCCTAGAGCTGTGCTGCACGACGGTGCAAAGGGACTAAATACTACGGAATGGTGCCCTTCAAATGGTGAAGGTAGTCAATTTAGGGTTATATTTTATAATCGAAACTTCAAAAGCAGCTCATCTTGCTCAAACATTAACCAGAAGTGTATTCTTATTGTCATTTTGTTGTTCAGCGGAATTATAAATTTCAAGAGTTTAAGATGAACCTAGTCGGGGCCGGGGATTTAGCTCAGTGGTTTCGGCACCTGCTGCGCAAGCGCAAGGACCCAAATTCAATCCCCGGTACCAATAAAATAAAATAAAATAAAATAAAGTAAAATAAAATAAAATAAAATGCACCTAGTTTGGGTTTGAGCACACATTAAAATGCTGCAGTGGGGCTGGGGATTTAGCTCAGTGGTGCCACTGCCTGCCTCGCAAGTGCAAGGGCCTGAATTCGATCCCCAGTACCAAAAAAAAAAAAAAAAAGACAATCATGGTTTATTAAATGTATTCCCTGTTTTTATGTTAAAATTATGGGACTGTGCTTTGGTGTAAAGTTTATGCTTTAAAATGTAAAATACTAGGCCTGGGATTTAGCTCAGTGGTGCCACCAGCTGCATGGCAAGCACAAGGGCCTGAGTTCGATCTCCAGTACCCCCCCACCCAAAATGAAAAACACCAAATATGAAGTAAAAACTTGCAACTTATTTATCGCTATGCTTGAATGTTTTTAAAAACAGGAAAACTGAAGTAAGATTCAGGACTTTGGGGTGGGTGGCAGGGCTCTGTTGGTGCTACCTTTGGCATGGCGGGCTATGTGGCCACGATGGGGGACTTGAGTGGTCTGAGTGGCTGCTGTCGTCACAGACACTGGATGCTGCCAGTATCTCACTTGGTGATTCTTCACCTGCCCATGTGCCTGCAGCTGTTGTGGCTGAGCAGGAGGGTTGTGTAATGTCTGAGAAGAAAGGCCCTGCCCAGGTCTTTGCTGGTCAGAGCCGAGCTGACCCAACACAGCTGCCTGGGGCTTCTGGTTAATCACATCTTGCTGAGCTGGCCAGGCCCACTGCTGACTGCTTGGATGTTTGGCAGAAGCCTGTGGGTCAGGCTGTGGTGGTGGAAGAGAAGTTGTGGGTTGCTGAAGCTGTTGTTGTGGAATCAGCTGATATACCTGGGGCTGTGATGGGGTTTGGAGTGGGGGTTGGGGAAGGGGCTGCTGCTGCTGGGGCTGGGGCTGGGGCTGGGTGCTCAAAATGATGGAACCAGGTGGAAGTTGGAGTATAGTTAAGGGCATGAGACCAGAAGGGTTACGTAAAATGAGTTGCACACTTGGCTGAGAGGCTATCTGTGTCCCACCTGACCCTGCAATGGGCTGCTGACTTTCTGGGGGCAGAAGGCCACTGTGCTGGGTTCCCCCAGCAGGTGGGGCATTAGTGGTACTGCGCAGCATGGAATCAGAACCACTCACCAAACCCTGGGTTCCCTGCGCTGGGCCCACCACATGGATGACCTGCAGGCTAGTGGAGCTAGTTGGCTTCTGGGTCAGCAGTGTTTTTTGTGAATGGTGGGCAGGAGGCTGGGCAGGAGGAGGAAGTGACTTGATTCTTTTGTGACCCTTCTGAGAAAGTCTGGCTGGCTTGGGCACAGGAGCAAGAGGTGGGACCTTCTGGGACCAGCAGGCCGGTTGTGCAGGAGGATTTTGACCTGACAAATTCTGTCCTGAGGTGGAGGTAAGTGTGACCTGTGGAGCTCCTGAGTTGATTGCATTTCTGGATACTGAGGACTCTGCTGACACTGAGGTCATAGGCTGTTTTGGCTTTGCCTCTGGAGAGGGTTGACTGACACTGGCTGAGACACTGGGGCCTGATGCCATCTTGCCTGCATATTCAGCTGTGCTCTGGACGGGCTCCTGGCATGTGCTGACTGCCCTCTCAGCGTTAGTCTTTGATACAGTCCTAAGAACTCCTGAACAGTCACCTGTGGAGATGTGTGTGGAATGTTTCTGCCTCTTGAGTATGGGACATTTTGGTGGATCTACCACATCACACCAAAGTGGATCATTATTTGACATCAGGATGTTTGCTTTTGTTTCCCACAGCCAACTGTCAGCTTCACAGTCAAATACAAGATCATTTTCTAGCACAGGAGGTGAGCAGAATGCTTGTGGTTCGTTACCAGGTTGGGCAGACTGGTTTCCTTTGGTGTATTCCTGCACATCAATTTCAGAAGGCACAGACAGGTCACAGGGGCTCTGTTTCCATGTGTCTACATAATTCTGTGTTGTGATCTTCGGGTCTCCTTCCTGACTAGATTTCTTTTCTTTTTTCTTTCTGCAAGCAGTTAGTACTCTAGAGTCAGGGTGAGAAGGATGTGGAAATGACTCCTCCTGCAGGCTCAGGGAAGGCCACGAATGCCTCTTGAAGCACTGTGTCATTGGGGCAGCATTCATAGTCTGCATGTTAAATAGCAGTCTGTTGGCAGTGCAGGCCACTGCCACAGAGGGCTCCAGACACAGTGGCTCTGCTGGAGCCAGAATTAGTTGCCTCTCAAAGGTGAGCTTGTCTTGCTGTGTCCATTGAGGGTTGTCACTTGCAATGGCTTCTACATCACACACTAAAGTCTGCATCGTTGGACGTAAGAGAATATGCCTACTTTTGTACACAGGCGAGCCCAGGCCCATGAACTGCCTGTAGTCTCGGATTTCTGCTATGACACACCCACTATGGAAAAGGTTCATCTGAGAGGTGCCCAGGATGTCGAGCAGAACAGGAGGTAACTGTTGTGCATCCAAGTACTCCAACAGTTTACCTTCTCCATAGGGCAGTGAAATGATCTCTGAAAAGGACCCACTTTTGTCATCCAGCATCACAGAACAGCCCTTATCTCCCGGGTATAGGTTGAACACTAGGCATGGCAACGACTCTCTGCTAACCAGCTTCTCTAGCAGGTTGACACTGGTCGTGAGTTCCTCGGGGACCTCGGGCTCTTTGCCACATTCTTCAACATAAATGTCATAAAGCTTTTCATGGAGAGATTTCTCCTGGCCCGATGGGGCTGTGCTTTCAGGGGGTGTCTGCTGGGCCCTTGCAATGACCTCCTCTGCACGATCTAGGGCTTGCTCTAACGCTGGCCGCATTCTGACGGAACCAGACCCTGCAAGAAGAGAACAGTGGTGGGGCCCGGGTCACGTGAGGCGGAAATTGCCTCTGTACTCCTGACTGTGGTCCCGCAAATCTCTACAACTCCACCTGGGAGCAAGCAGCCTTGCACCAACGTGCTGCCCAAGAAACCCGCCCTCAGCCCCAAGGAAGCACTATACAACATTCTTTGAGTACTTAAAAATTCCTTTACCTGTTAGCGGGAAGGACCTCAGTGCCCTGCTCGGTGGGTGCTGTCCGACTGGACCTCGGGGCTTTCGGTTGTTGCACATGCGCACTGCATGGACCATGTGACTCCCGCCCCCCCAACACGTGCCGAGGCTTTGGGCTCATGCAGTGTCGCGTGTGCCAGCCATTCTGACTCCACTTCCCGTCCAGTGCTGCACTTGCACTGGACATGCGCGCGTCTCTTTTACGTTGAACTTTCAAACTGCACATGCAACCACTAGTAACCCAGCAAAATAGGGTGTACTTTGGTACACTTTCAAGATTCAGTCATTTTTGCAGGAAGGCAATTGCCAGCAGCCTCAGGGAAGCTTGCCACTTCTCTGAGTGGGAAAGTCAAGAATTGTTCCTTTGGGAATTTCTTGTCCCCGTGTTAGGGCTGCTTCTGGTAGCAGCCCCCATTCAGCACACCTGAATGAGACAGAATGGGTTTCTCTTACATCCACAGAGACACCACATACGTGGTGCAAGCATCGGGATTTTTCATGTTCTCCAGTAATCAACTGCCTAAGAGTTTTCGTGTCGATGTACACTTGAGATTATCCTCTTTTAAAAAAAAATCAGTGCGACGTAGTTATACCAGAACGTTAGATTCCTCTGACATTTCGCATAAAACATACTTGGATCGCCCCCCTCCCCCTGCCCCCAATCTCCTTCAAAGCTCCTAATAGTCTTCCTCTCCTTTCAATAACATCACCTTCTTACGCATAAGCTCTTACCTTGCGTTTCCCTATGTATTAAATGGAGGGCATTTTGTAGTTTAAAAACACTCTTTTGGATCACTCTGTTTTCTTTTCTTTTTTTTTTTTGGTACCGGGGATCGAACTCGGGTCCTTGCACTTGAGCAGCAGGCGGCAAAACCACTCAGCTAAATCCCCCGCCCATGGATCGCTCTGTTTTCTATGAATCACAGATCAGTGTGGTAGAGACACTCATCTATGTTTCCTGAAATGTTGATGTGCATCTGAGAGAGAGGAGGATGATTATTCCAGGTGATGGCACTAAATTTTCTGTGATTGACCAGTACACTATACCAGTGGTCCTACTGATGGATTTGCCGTGATATCATTGAGTCTTTGATAATTTATGAGACACTGTATTTCAGTACCTTTTGTGTCTTGAAATCTGCCAGCCATTTTGGACAGGTGTTTGAAAGACTCAAAACCTGTTTACCATGCCCACAGCTTCAGCACTCTGGGAGGCTGAGGCAGGAAGATGGCAACTTGGATCCCAACTTGGACTCTAAAGAAAGTCTGTGTCAAAATCAAAGGTAAAGGGCCTGGGATTTAGCTCAGTGGTTCCAGCGCCTGCCTTGAAAGCCCAAGGTCCTGAGTTCGATCCCTAGCACCAAAAAAAAAAAAAAAAAAAAAAATCAAGGGTAAAGTCAGTGGCAACGGCTTAGTTTAAGGATCCTGTGTTCAATTCCCAGCAGTATAATTGGAAAAAACCTCTAATGTTTTGATCTAGACAAAGTAGTTAAGTGTCAATACTGAGAAGAATCCAAGATAAATTGGTGAAACTCCAGAATTACAGACCATTTTAAAAATCCAAGTGTTTTTTAACCAAAGGTGACTGTGATTGTTACATAAGGCAGTACATGCAGTTGGACTGAAAGCTCCTCGGCTATGACATTCTTCCTAAAGACCCTCATTTGGGACCAGACTGGAATGGCTTTTTACCATCATGACCATCTGTTTTTGGCAATGGACACTTCTGGAGCACCTGGAGGGGCTTGGAAATAGTCTAGTTTCTTTTCCTTTAAGCATCCTTCCCTCCCTCTCTCTTTTAATTTCCAGGGCCTGAATGTGGGCTAAGTATAAGAAATGCATTTTGCCTTCCATGAACCTTGTTGCCTTGAAGTCTGCCAGTCTGGGGGTCAGAGAGCCACTTTAGAGCCTGCTGTGTGGTCGGTGAGCATGGTCCAAATGCTGCCCCTTAGCTGCCACCCCGAGGTACATGTCCCTTAGCAGAAGGTCCCTGCTGTCCTGTCTGGGGAGGGGGAGAGGTGGGGCAGCTAGATCTTCCCTTGCTGCCCCGACTGTGTCTTAGCTTGGATTTTGCTAGAAACACCCTTGAGAAGAGGATCTGAGCACAGGGGGTTTGTCTGGGAGCCAAATGCAAGAAGCACTGGTGAGAGCTGGGCCAGGGACAGTAAAGAAGACAACAGAGGGCTGTTGGTGAGTAGAGGACCGCTGTGGAGCCCTGGGCTGTGCTGGGGACCGTGGGCAGCAGTAGAGGAAACGCTCACTTGGGCCTCTCCTGGAGGCAAGGAAGCTGGGGCATTTGCTCCTGCACTTCTCTGTCTCCTGGTGGGGCCATCCCGGGAGCAGCATTCCAGGACACTGGTGTTTGCCATGCACTGTGCTGCGCCCCACCCCCAGTGTGGCTTGAGGATGCCTTCAGACAGAGTTGCAAGTGCTTGCGGTAAGGCTCAGTCTGTGTGTGCAGAATGACAAGTACCAGGGGAGATGGACAAGCTCCTGGCAGCGCTTGCTACATCTAGGACTGAAGATAAGTGGGAGGAGTCAGCCATTCATTCTTTTGTTTTTATTTTATTTTTTCCGGTACTGGGGATCGAACTCAGGACCTTGCCACCAAATGTGGTGCCCGCTGAGCTACATCCCCAGCCCGCAGCTATTCATTCTTAAAGAAGTAGCTAATGTGTATGTGGTGCATCTGTGCCTAGGGAGAGGTGAGATGTAGCCCGTCCAAGTGAAATGGGCGGTTTCATGTAAGTTGCTGTCCAGCTGTTAGAGCCAACGGGCCCAAATGGGGGATGTGGCCCCTCCTTACTCCCCAGTGGGCACACGCAAGGCAGCCTGAGCTGCTGGTACACTGGAGGAGACTCTAATCATGTGTGTGTGTGTGTGTGTATGCATGTGTGTTTCAGTATGCATTAGTTGGTCTGTCAGTGCTTTTCATAGTTTACTCGTCCCTTCCAGTGGAGCTGCTTAATTGACTGGTCTTTTCACAGATGACTTTTAAAAAATTACTCTTGAGCACATACGGCCTTTTCTACCCTTTAAGCACATTCATAAGCATGCAGGCAGATTTCAATAATTCCACCCTCAGTCCACCTCTACAGCAGGTCTGGAGAGACTGAAAAACTCATGGTCCTGCTAAGATTTTCTTAAGGAATAGGAGAATTCATTGAATGGAGAATAATTGATCTAATTTATGATGAGCACACTACCTTGTCCTTTACCCATTGATATCTAGGTCTAGGCCTTTGCCATTCTCCTCTGTTGCAGTTACTTAGAAGGACCAGGCAAGAGTTTGGAATGACAGTGTGTGACGACTAGGGAAGCTGGAGATTCTTTGGTCTCGCACTGGGTTAGCCCTTCTTCATTTGCCCTAATATATTTCTCTTGTGACCATTTTCCCACTCTAGGGAAGCCAACCCTAGGGCATGCTGTAGTTCTGTGAGAGTGAGGGAAGTTCACTTTCCACAGCCTGTTACACCATTCAGTCTTAAACATCTGCTAAGTTCTGTTCATTAGACCTCAGAGCTTCTCAGAGGCCATAACTGTTGCACTGGATATTAATCATCCTCCTTTTTTCCACCTTTTCCTTTTCCCAAGTCCCTTTTCTTTCCTCAAATTGTCCATCCTTTTACCATTTTACTGAATAATAAATTAAATTGGGTTTTATTCTGGTTGTGTTTTATTAAGGCTTTCCTTCTACTTCCTGAGGTAAATAGCCGCACTCTATGCCAGGATTTTCCAACCTCTGCACTGTTCACATGTATTATTGGGACTGTCCGGTGCACTGCAGGATGTTTAATAGCATCACTTGATACTAGTAGCAGTCACCTACATTTTATGACAACCAAAAATTTCTCCAGACCTTGTCAAATGTCAGGGTGGGGGCAAAATCATCCCTGGCTATGAACCCTATTGTGTTATAGAACCAGGTTTGAAAAGTGAAACAGTCCCCAAGCCACAACATATTTTCCATCTCAATTTGTAGGATAGTTTGAATGATAATATGTGTTTTTCTATTTTGTTTTTATTGCACTTCCTGTTATGGTTGGCCCTGAATTACCTTGGTAATGCTCTAAACCTACCATTGTTCCTGATTAACAGAGTTCCCAGCCAGTGGGAGAGATGCAAACAAAATCATCATCAAATCTTTATATGATGCATATTATTTTAAACTGGCAAATATATTTTATTTATCTGCCTGAAAAACAATCTGCAACTATTTCCAAATTTTCTACATTTATTCAATGGAAAACCTTTGCTCATTTTAATAATATTTTAAGAAATAACTTCGAGAAAGATCTTGCTATGTAGTTTAGGCTGGCTATGAACTTACTGTGTCACCCCAGCTGGCCTCAAAATCATGGCGATCCTCCTGCCTCAGCTCCCGAGTGCTCGGATTACAGGCCTGCGCCACCATGCCTGGCTTTTAATAATGTTTTCTGGTCTTCATTCAGTATGTGCTCTTTTAGTGTGTATTCTCTGCACTTTATTTTCTTAATTCAGAGCATCCCTGGACTCTCCTTTTATTACTTTTCTGTATTTACACTTAGACCTTTCATGACTTCATTTAGTCTTGTGGCCTTAGGACCACCTTAACATTTTTGTTTCCAAATTTCTTTAGCCTCAATTTCTCCCCTGAACTACAGACTCATAATATCAAACTTCCTGTTCAAAATCTCCATCTGGCTGCTAAATAGGAACTTTAAATCTAACATGTTCAAGCTGAACTTCTGATCTTGAATCCAAACCTGCTTCTTTGACAGCATATTGGTGGTGTGTGAACGGGAAATAGGAATTACCATGAGTGGTGTGGAATAATGCATTTAGTTATAGGTACCTGACCCCACACAATTATGGGAGACGCTAGAGGAAGTAAAGGTGTGGAAGAGTACAGCTGGATGATCAGAGTTAAGTCATTAATCAGGTGTATCAGTCAGTGCTTGCTAGCGAAACAGATTTAATGCAAGATAAACAAATATATAAGAAGTTCCAGAATTGGCTTACCATGTCCACCTGCAGAGTCAGGTGTGGAAAAGCGCAAAAGGGCTGTTTGTGTGCTGGAGATCTGAAAGATCCAGTC